TAAATTATAGTCTTTTCAAATTAATCCTGAGATAGAATATCAGGCTTCCAGAAGAAGTAGTTCTATTGTCAGATCTAACAAGGTAAGAACCATCACAATACAAGGAAGAACATGCAGAAATGCCTTTTCTTCATATTTTGCGGAGAGTCACACATTTTCTCCCATTAGATGCCCAGCCTTCACCTGTAAACACATTAAGTAATTGCAGTACTGCAGTATGTTAACCAGAGTCCATGAGCATGCTTAACTGAGCAAGATAACCAAGAACGACCAGAACAAATGCTGGATTTATCTTCCCATCTAAGCAGAGGCAACACTGCAGGTAAAACTGCTGTCAAATGGTCATTTTGAGAAACCACTAAAAAACTTGGTGGCTACTTTGTCAATTTCCACATGTGACAGATCTTCATTGTGACACCAATTTCAAACATAGTGCCCAAAGCCACATTCTTGTCCTGAATAAGGCTCACAGTGCTGCTCTCCTAACTTCATGCATGTTATAACATGAAAACACATCCTCTTAATCAGGCCATCAAATTTTAAAATAGCTTCTGATTGCATTGTTTTAGTAAAGGTACTTGTGATGATTGCATACAGGGTACAGGAAAAGCATGTCTTTAAAAGACTGCAGTCAATGTAATTTACCAGAAATTATCTTGGCCCAGGATGAGTTTTAAAGGCCACTTTAAATTATAGTATGATATTTATTGCCAGGAACACGACTCTATTTGATACAAATTTCCCCAAAACAATTGACATATAACTGGTTGGTCCAGAGGTTATAGTCTGCAAATGTTAATTGCTCTTTAAAGTGGCAGTTGGGTGTTACCTGTGTCTCAAAATTAAGAAATACATTGATAAAACAGTAGTAAATTTGGCTGTGCAAACACATGCTCATGAGAATGCTCTGGTCATACCATAGTCATGAAAGATGGGCAGTAGCACAAAATCTTTAGAATATCTCCTGGCATTCCAATATATTATAAATAGAGAAACTAAATTAAATACATACCAGTGTATGCAGGAAATACATACCAGTGTATGCAGGTTTATTTTGTCACAATACAATAAATTGCAAAAAATTATATAATATTGGTAACTAGAATTATGTCCTCTACATGCTGGAGCACAGGAGTTCTTTAGACTCAGCCTGTACCTGGTCCCATTAGCTTTCTGCCAAACTGCTCCTGAACAATCTATGTTGAACATGCAATGCAGGAAAATAGACCAAGAAAGCACATATAAGAGATGGATTTATGCAAAGCAATTATGTGTCCTTCAGTACTTTTTTCTTCGATTGAGATCTATATTATTTTTACTCAGCTAAAATGCCACAGGTATGCTGTAGACTGTAGCCATGATATTCTATGAAAAAATCCTTTCCTAGGATTTTTCCTGTCCTGGGGAGCTGAGAGCCTCAGGAAAGAAATGTAAACAATAGCTATCTGCTGCTGTGGAATGCCACAGGTGCATCTTCCATTGGTCCATGTGGATTGTTTTCAATTAGTGACCAATCACAGCCACCTGTGCCAAGGCTGTGAGCAGTCACAAGATTTTGTTATGCATTCTATTCCTATTCTTGTCTTTGTAGCCTTCTGATCTTCATCATCATCTTCTTCTTCTTCTTCTTCTTCTTCTCTCTGTTCTTTTAGTATAGTTTTAATGTAGTATTTTAGTATAATATATAACATAATAAATCAGCCTTCTGATGAAAATGGAGTCAAGCCTAGTGTCTACACACAAGGGGTTACCGAGACAAGAGTAGACCAGAAAGAAGACATTAACCTTATTTTTTTTCACAGGCAGTTTAAATATATATGATTATTGTCTTAAAGCAATGAAGAAAGCCAGTAAATTTGTTTAGTCTTTGCCTCTTGTTTGATTTTCTCAGGATGAAGTGGGATATTATTACTGGTGCAGTTATCTCTGTATTCTCTCCTATTATGCTAGATAGAGGCTGAACTTGTATATTCCACTCTTATTTTGAACACATAGGAAAGTGTCCCTGCTGTCATTGGAAAGAGACTGTGAAACACAATTTATTCCTCAATGTTGCAAAAAAACCAAACCAAACCAAACCAAAACCAAAACAACAACAACAACAACAACAACAAAAAACAAAAACAAAACCAACCAAACCAAAACAAAACCAAAACAAACAAAGAACAACAACAAAAAAAACCAACAAAAAAACCAGCTTCATATATGCTAATCAAATTAAAGGTCTAATCCTACAAATTGGTACTAGAGGAATCTTCTTCATCTTCAGAATTCACCTTGACCCTTAACACAATACTGGCTTTTTTTCATGACCACTCCTTCCAGGATATTATGTACTGGATCCAGGAAATATTTACACTCAACGATGCTCATCTAACTGCATTGAGGCTGACACTGTATCTCTCTGAATTTGGATCAGTGCCTCCATTTCAATTAGAATAGACTGAGAAAAGGTTAAAATAAAAACAACAAAAACCGGGCAAATATTTTTTCCAGAAATGCTCTAAAAACCACACCAACTTGTCTCTTAAAACTTGGGTAAATATCATGCCTTGTTACTGGATTTGCATGACTCAAAATACTAATGATTTTGTATGTGCTTTTTTTTTTCCTCCACCATCAGTAATTATACTTTGACCTGACATGCAAAAGACATGCATTGCAAAAGACATGCCTTGCAAATGATGTGACCTTACAAGGTATTTTTATGGCATGTAAATCACAGTTTTAGTGCCTTTTCCTCATTGGGTTGTGAATTTCTGACAGCAGTTGGGAGAAACTAGCAAAAGTAAGAACAGATCAAGTACTTCAGTGGCTGCATGCTGGGACTTGGCTGGGGCAACTGAGTAAGTTCTGACCTCTTGGATGGGTGGAAGGGCTGCTGACAATGGAACATGAGATAGAATTAAGTGAAGGAAGACCTTACATCTCCTGCTATCTCTGCTGAAGTAGGGGTCTCTCACCGTCCACCTTAATCAGGATTGCAAAGTCGCTGTTGAAGGTACTTCAGAGATATTTGTGTCCAGCTCCTTAGCTTTGCAGTCCTCAAGGAGGGACTCTTTGAAGAAGTATAGGATAGCTGTGAGAATTAAATCCTTCACAGAGGACTACACAGACTATCGATTATGCTCAGAGACTTAAGAATGATCCTAACTTAATCAGTATAGGTTTTCAAATATGCTTCTGCATTAGGCTCCCAATGGAGAGAAACAAAAATGCTATATAATGGCATTGTATAGGGTCTCATTAGCTTGTTGTGCCTGGAAAATTAAAAAGTAAATTGTCTGGAATGCACTGGAAGCTGCTACTAGCTTCAAAATGATGATAAGCAATTTTGAAACAAAATTGCAGGTCTTGTGCCGTTGGGCTGACCCTGCAGGACAATACATTACTTTGGTGGGTTTCCATGCCTCTTTACTTTCCTTGTGCTCTGTATGCAGAGGAGATCTCTTTGATCAGGATCCTCATTCCCAAGGAAGAGTTAAGGACTTCAGTTGTAATATATTATCTAAGTGCATTGCATACTTTTGCTTTGATATGGTTTTGCCCATTTCAGAAAACCCTGGTGGTGGTGGAGAGAGATCACACATAGCACCTACAGGGCTTTGTCAAATGCTGATGTCCATTATCAAAGATTTCATTTTATTAATATTAAGCTAAAAGCCTCTCCAACTAATTAATGGCTGAATAGCTTCAGGAAATAGCACCAGGAATTGCATGAAGGAACACAGGTGCTAAGAACTACTTCCTATCCTGGTTTAAAGTTTATAAATTCTCATTATTGTACAATAAATGAAACAATAATCTCTATGGGATAACATACTAACTTGTTCTTCCATTAAAAGTGGATTTACAGCAGTAATCAAAATTATTTCAGCAGCATTTATCTAGCTATTGTTTCCAGAGCAAACTCTGGATGCAGAGTATGTAGGAGAGGACCTTTTGAAAGGGTTTTTTCTAAAAAGTCTTTCACAAAAATCAACCCAATTGCAGCTTCATATTCACTACTACATTACCAGACAAACTAAAGACATAGCTCCATGATAGTGTGAAGTTGTTTACTGGCAAGTATGTTAGAATGAAAAAAAATTAATGGGAAAGAAAAGGGAGCATCTAATCACTCTAAGTGACCTTCAGATGATAGATATAGTTAGGGGGAAAGACACAAGCAAACAAAAACACAGAGGAGCACAATGGGCTAAACTTATCCCACATATAACTCTGGCCAGCTGGCCAGTATCTGGTTGTCAAAATATGTTTAATAGGGAAAGAATGAAAGTAACAAATGAAGTATAAAATCTCTTCTAGAACACTGTACATTGGTTCTGTTTGGTTAAATCAGTATGTCTTCTATAATGCCATTCTTTGAGATCAATTACTCATTATTGCACTGCCAGTATCAAACTATGATCCTCACAATTTTTCTGACCCCTTTCATCACCCTTCTTTTTCCCCCAGTGTTCTATAAATAGCCAATGTGCTATTTTCTTGTGATCACTGTAAATAGGGGTTTTAGGCATTTCTTTACCTATATCACCATGGAAACAAGATCTGTGTATATATCTATGATTAGTCTTTCTCTATAGTAAAAGCCTTCATTATCTATGCAAGCTTACAGCTAATTGTTCTGCATAAGATATGGGTGTCTTATTCCTACCTACTACTTCGGAAATTCATTTCATGTAGTTGCACATAACAAGCTGTAAAGAGGGTTTTATGAAGCCAATAATGCAGATATAATACTTAAGGAATTCCTTTTGGATTGGATATATTTATTTTTCCAAACATTTTGTTTGAGAGAAAATGAGATTGCTATCTGCTGTTTCCTTATTTTTTTGCAGGAAAGCAAAGGGTTGTTGACTTCCTCTCCCCTCCCTTCCTTCCTTCTTTCTGAAGGTACTGTACTCATCTGAAAAAAAAAGAGAACGAAATGATTGTTCCTGTTCTCCTTCTTAAGTCATTTGAAACATTGTCCCTGCTAGTTTTCTAAGTTTACTGCAATCTCTGCACCGGGGGGAGGGAGACAGCAGGAGAGAGACACAGATATTACAAACATCAGAGCAGGTAGTGTTTAGGGCAAGACTCCTTCCAGCTTCAACAACTGGTAAGTTAAGTGAAATGCTTCTATGATTAACTCTTTAAAAGTGCAATATATATATATATATCTGTGTTAGTATTAAGAAAAGGCATTAATTACATACACATTTAACTGATAAAAGAATAATAACCATATGCATTAATAAGCAGTCTATTTACGCTAGAGATACCTATAGTCTGGTTTTTAGATAATAGTGCTATTACCATATGGTTTAACCTAATCAGATAGGAAAGTATTTTCTAATGAGGCTGATAATATTCACAATATAATCTCCTGTGAATTTTGCGTATATAAGTCCTGCCACGAAAATCTTGTTACAGGCTTCACTAACTTTATACCAACAGTTTCAGCAAGATTCACTGGGCCATTGCTAAAATACAGAGAGGAATATGTATTCCCATATACATATGGGAATCAATGTATTTAATTTATCATCTGCCAGTACTGAAGTCTGCTCCAACACACCAACCTGTGCTATACTGGGAAAAGAATTACTGGGGCTGGCTGTTTTTGTTCCCTTCAAACTCCATTGTGTTTAGGATTACACATGTTTATCTCTACTCATCTGTGTATATGATTAGTCTAGGAACAATGACATTTAGGAGGTGGTAAGATGGTTCCTGGATCTCACTTGGAAAAAAACAAAACAAAAGTTCATGTTGTGCAGTACATAACAGCACTGAGGCTGATCACCCACATCGGTAATATGATGGACCTAATAGCATATTGTTTGCAAAATTTAGACACCAATAATGTTTTCATGTTGATTGTAAATGCATCAGAATGATCAGAATTGCCATGTTAAATGGCAATTTGAAACCTGCAAGAGCAGGTTTCAAATATTGCATGAGAAAAATCCCCCCCTGCATACTTTTAAAAAAGCAGAATGCAGACGTGGGGCAAGAAATAGGACAGGTATCCACTTCTTTGCAAAAGGAGAATTTGCTTATCTTATGATTAAGTGTTTCTTCAAGGTGCTGCTCTCTGAAGTGCAGGATGCCCACAGCCCAGACAGAGAGGCTACAAATGGTGGGGAGATATTGCAAAAGGCTGTCAGGCAGCTCCAGCTGCCCTGCTCCAAATCCTGCTCCCGCCAGGGTACCTGGGCTGCTTCCGCCCTGGGACAGCCTCCTGCTCTCAGCCCTCACTGAAACAACTAGTAGAAAGGACTTTCTGCCTCCCTCTATTTGGTGTCTTTCTACAGGTTTTTCCATAAGAAGGAATGGTTTACCACAAATTCAGCCCATTTTCTGGGTAAGTTGTAAATTCCTTTTGTTTTGGGAGCAGCCAAAGGGGGTTTTGTCAAAGGAGATGGAAATAACTTGTTTCTTGAACTCTTTAGCTTAATGTTGCCACTCAGTCTAGTTTGGTATGAGTCAATTGTTTATTTGGTTGTACTTAACTCATAAACAATTTGTTATCTGCTAATAACAAATGTCTGCCAGATCTTGCCATGAAAACCATCTACTACATCTTCCCCTTGAGATATCTGGGTTTATTTTTATGTGACTATATACTGATTCAAATTAAAGACATGATTTGGACAGCTATTTTGACAGTTACATGTCAAACACCTGGAATCCCAGTTTTTACATCAAGTGAGACATATAGGAGTCTTCCAAACACACACAGAAAATTACATAAACTCTGTTTTTGTGGTGGAATTTTGTTTAAACTGCAGGGAATTAGTCTGGATTGCAATCACTTTTAAGTTTTTGGTCTGGTTGGTTCAAAAGTTAAGTTTGCCATATAGGTGAAAGTAAGCTGCAGCCTTTAGGTCCAGGTTTTATTGCTGAAGATGATAAACATTTGTGCTTTCTTGATTTAGATCATATATACAATAAATTCTTTCTCTGAGACTTAGTCTGAAATACATATATATGAACAAATTTGTTCAAATCATAGTAGGTGAACAAAAGCAGTACATACTGTTTTAAAACCCAATCCCCAATAATAAGCACAGATAAAACTTTTTAAAAGGAATGCTTAGTAATTTGACAGTAAAAAATAGACCTTGAATTTTGAGTTTTATTCTTATAATTTATCTATTAGGTTTATTTTCCTTTTAAAAATACATCTTTGCAATCCTTTGGAGCTTATTTATTTTCACTTTGTATAATTTATTGCCAGAACCACTGTAACATGATTTTGTACAACAGGAGCTTGTAACAGAATGAATATCTATCTTAAGGTGTCAGAAAAATGATTTTTTTCAAATCACTTTTGATATTCAAAAATGACATGTTATTCGTACATCACTGAGATACTTACAGCAGAGAAAGGTATAGTCTGAGTCTGTATCGGGTACAGATTTGCTACGGGTTTACAGCACAAATTAAACATTTGTGCAATGAATTTTCAGTTATTCACCGCAATGTTTGTGAGAGACTGGACTGTTAATGTTAATGGCTCAGCTCTTAAAATTATAAGCCAAGAATAAAAAGAGACAATTTGTGTTCATTTTTCTTAAAATCTTACTGCTTCTACTGGTAATAGCCATATTTATGTATATAACATAAAGTCGGTGTATGTATTTCCTCAGAGAATTATTTAAAGCAATTATTTCCATTTGATGTGTTCTCAATTATAACGAAGTAAAATATAGAAGATTACTGCTTTTGTTTGGAAATTGAAAAATAAAGCTATACCAGTAATGGCAGAGAGGTTACAGAAAAAATTTGTAGCCTGTGGAAATCCTAAGTTAATAGGTCTGGTTCAAAAAGTATAGAAGCTAAGAGAAGTGTTTCTGTAAATGTCATTGCCTTTTTGTATTTAAGACCAGCTTCTTTATGTGTAAAGTATTGAGACTTTTTTGATACAGAATAGTAGCACTGAGTTACATTCCTAGTAACATTTTGGCATGTCTAATGTACATTTTTGACCAGGAAATAATTTGAAGGTTTGCATCCCAAGGAGGTGGTTTGTTTTTTTTTTTTCCCTCCTTTTTTTTTTATTATTTTGTTTTATTTTGTTTTGTTTTGGTTTTTATTGTTTTTCATTCTTACAAAAGCACGTCAACAAGAGCCTTATTTTAGGACTATCTGGGTGCAGAGCAGAAAGTGATGGTTTGAAAGACATGATGTGCATCTCAGAGATAAATGTAGCGTCATGTCTTTAAGGTGCTGTTCCTAGTAGTGCTAGAGAGATATGCAGGATTTAGAACAGGATAAGTATGAGGGGTGAATCATAGAAGCAACCCAATTCAAGCCCCATACACTGAGACAGAAGAATATAGATTTCAGACAGAATTTACATTGTTTTCAATCTTTGAAATTGCAAAGACTCAGTGGTGCAGAAAGGTAGAGGAGTGGACTGCTCCACTCTTCTGGACATGTCAGCAGAATCTCATCATAAGAAACAAAAGCAGTACAGGCTGCATAAGGTAATGGGGATTTTCTGTGGCTGTGTTGAAAGGACATAAATCAATGGTGTGTAAGGCAACATCTTATTTACTAGTTGATAAAAAATGACCCATAGTTGTTAAGCATCAATGCATATTCTTCAGTACCAAGTGATCCAATCAAATTGCTCCTTCAAACAGACCTTATAAGTGCTGTGAGACTGCTAGAGATTGTTGTCAAATTATTTGTTTGATGGATTAATTTTATAACCAAAAAGCAAAATTTGAAAAAATGAACTACCTATTAAAACCAAATAGTTACTTTCTTCTTATGTGCAGTAATTTTCCATGACCTAGCTTATGATCTCAGAAGACCACTAAAAAGAAAGGAATGTCATCTTGGAGAAGAAAGAATCATAGAGACACAAATAATGCAAAGCCTTTGAAAAGAAATAAACAAATTCAAGGGGAAAAAAGATGGGATATTTTTGCTAAAAATTTGCTATTCTGAAATTGAGACTGCAGCTTTCCATTGCTGTAAAAATTCAGTGGCATTTTATAAATGATATTCAGATTTTTATCCAATGAAGAGGCCTATGTTAATCCCCAGCAATTATTTAAAACATGCATTGAGTTGCATGCTGGATGTGTATTTTTTGTTTATATCTACCTGACGGGGATTAGTCCTTCTTGCTTGACTTCTAAAATACTAATGATCCAGTGAAAAATATTACTTAATATTTGCTTTAGATCCTTCCAAATGTAAAAGCATTTTCACTTGTTTCTGTAAAACAAATGGTTTTATACACGTTACTGTGTTCTTGATAAGTGAAACACAGTATTTTCTTTCTCAACCAACAATTCTTAATGTACCGTAAAAACTGTAATGTCACTGGTAGTAATTAAGCTAAGTAATCATGTAATAAAAGAAAATATTTTTGTGCTCTGGAGGTTATGAGAAGAAATTATGTGAATATTTTTCTTTTTACTTTCATTTCTAATTTCCTGCTTTTGATGTTAGAAAAGACCTCTTATTATTTATTTAAATGTAGGATGAAAATACCACCCTATTTTTAATTTCCTTTCCTTTCCTCCCTCTTCTACCATGGAAGCAAAAACCCTAAGACATTTTCCTCCTACTTTGTGGATGTGCAGGAATTCATTTTATTTAAAGGAAAAATCTTAGGTAAGAAGTATGTTTTCTGAAAACCTATTTTTCCCTTGTCAATCTTCAAAAAAGTAATCCTGGAAACACCCAACTTTTCATCTGCGTATGCTCATTAGAAGCACTAGAATTCAGAGAACACTGAAAAATACAAAGTTGACAATTGGTCTCCTACACTGATAACATCACATTTTGTTAAGAGCTTGAGACAGGTAAAACTGATTTACAATTGAAAGCAAGGCATGAGAAGGAGGATACATTCTTGGATGATGCTGTAGTAGAAGCAATGTTAATGCACAGCAAGACCCACACAGTCCTCTGTCTGCAGGCCTGATGAAGAATAGACACTGCCTAATTTCCCTGCATGGAAGAATCTTGGTCTTCCCACAATGGAGGACCAGATGTGGTGGGTTTGGGAGAGAACCATGTGGTTCTGCCCTTTCCTATTCTGACACCAGCCCTCTGATAAGCCACAAGTGTGTTGGCTGGGAAGGACAAGATGACTTCTAGTCTTCCTTTAAATTTGTTTGTTGCTATTGCTGGTTGTGAAAGAGCCACTTATACTTCAGTCTTCCTTTTTTAGGGTTGCAATGTAACTCTTAGACTCTTTCTGCAGTGATGAAAGACTTCCTCTTTCATGGTAGGCTCTGTACTGGATCTGCCACTTAAAAATTTTAAATTGGAAAGAGTATGTATTCTTACCAATGTGCAATACACGGGATCTGAACCAAATTGAAAGGTATCCAGGATGGATGTGTTGGAATGCAGTGAGTATTTCAGGTTTAGTTTTTTCTCTGAGCTGCTTTCTAGAGCATATAGTGTTTCAGCTTTGGTCTTTCACCTCCAGATAAAAATAATTTTAGAGCATTATTTGAAAAGGCAGCATCTGTCATACAATACTTCCAGTTAGCATAATATTTTTCTACTAGTCTGCTTTTCCTTAAAAGTATTTAGACTACATGCGTAATGAAAACAATACCAGGAGGTGGAAAAGGGAGGAATGACCTGTTTTTAGAGCATCTGTCAGCTTCTAAGAATCAGTAGAAGTAGTTTGAGGTATCTGGTAGGCACAAGCCCACCCTAGGTTAGTTCTTTACTGTAGATTTCTGAAGCTGTGAAGATCACCCTGTATTTGTCCAAAACCATTGTCCTGAGATATGAATTCCATAAAAGTATAGAGGACCTCTTCACCAGAAATAATGCCCATCCATTTATAAATGAGAAGGACAATATTTTTTTAATAGAATCACAGAGCAAGGAACCACAGCAGTATGAATGCTACATCAAACAGTTTTCCTGCATAATGCTGCACTCACAATACGAAGACACCAAGACACAAGATTTCTGGAAGAATTTTGTGTCTGTAGGCAGCGTTTTGTGAGGATGTCACAGAAAGAGTCACATATATTGGAGGAATGGTGCTCACCATCTCCTCTTTCCTCTGCCAGAAAAACAGAAATACCAATCTTTCATTTCAAACACATTAACTGTTTTTTTCACATCCCACAGAAAGTGAACCCCACTTAAACTTCAGTCACAGGTAAAGAATGTAGTTGAATGGCTATCACTGGATTCTGCAGGACAGGGATCAGGACTCAGGGTTCAACCTAATGACTTGCTGCAAGAATTTTGGCTAATTTGTTTCCTGCTAAAAAACAATGAACAGACTCCCACTGGAAGGCAATGAATCTGGTTAGGACAGTGAGTCATGACAGAATTCATTGGGTAATGTTCCTAAGCCCAGACCAGAGCCTTACCTGCTATTCCTTCTAAAAGACTGCAAGAATTCCTATTAATTTTTCCATGGTTTTGTATGTGATACTTTTTTTTCCAGGAAAAAGATCCTGGATAGAATGATTTGGGATGGGGTTGTGGACGTATGGGCAGGGATTGGTAGAGACAGTTATATTAATACATAAGGTGATTTCTTACAAAGCTTCATTTTATGATGCCAGTTGGCCATTCTTAGTCATGCTGCTGAGTCACAGTGGTTTGATGGGGTTTTTGGTTTCCTTTTTCTTGTGATGAAAATCTGAACTGAGTTACTATCCAGAGCATCACTTACGGTGAAGGAAGGATTAGTACTAGACTGGTTTGAAAAATGTTCAGAATTTCAGGTTTCAAACTATGTTGATTTTCTTCTTACTTTTTTTTTGACAAAAAAGAATTGCTTATTTATTTGTGATTCCAGTCTCTGTTCCAATATCTGCTGGTGCTACTTGGCTAAGTCTGAGCTGTCTTTCACCCTCGATATGCTAGTTTATTGAATTCAGTAAAACTATAATTTTAAATCTGTTTCAGTTTAAAATAATTAACCTCAAGAATTATTCCCCATATTGACCAAATGAATTTGTTTTCTAATTGATGGAAATTGTAGAAGCAAGATAGAATTTGTTTTGAATTTCAGATTTTCTGTAGTTTTGGCAACAAACTAGTGCTTATTTTTTAAACTTTCTACAAGTTAACAAAATCATTAAGAGCAAGATGCAGGAAATGTTTTGGGGATCAGAGAGGGAAAGTATTTTGTTGTTCAGTCAAGGACAAGATTCAAGTTTGGCACCACAAATGAAGGGCAAAGGCAGAGAAGAAGATATCTTAAACTACTTCTTACAGGTACTTCATATGATCAGACAAAAATGCCATTCTGTGCTGGAACTGAAGAAGTAAACACATTTCTCTTCAAACTAATTTTTTAAAATTAATCCTCATTGAATGAAATTGTGAGGTGTATGTGAAAGTGATAATTTTTCTGGACAATAAATACATATTCAGTGCAGTTTCAAAGCTTTAATAGAAGTTTTATTCTCCGGCAGTTTGGAAAGCAGAGCTCCCTAATCACAACGCAGATATATATCAAAAGAAGTTCCTTCCAATGGCTCAGCAATTTGCCTTAAGAGCCTTTTAAAACTCTTTCTTATTGATGAGATTCTTATTTTTTTTATTGTTGGGTCTCAACAAAATAAACACAGTGGTGTCCTAAGAGCAGCACTGATATGTCTAATTCCTTTACTGTGTTTTGTGCTGTACTTAGGTTCAGAGGGAAATATCTAAGTCATTACTAAGCCAGCTTAATTACAAGTGAGTAATACAGGCTAAGAAGGATTAATCAGTCTTTACAGCCAAGAAGCTTTTCCAGCAAGAAATCTGCTCAGTCTTCACCTGAAATAAAATGTATTCGTGTTTTCCTAAATGAATAGGAAAGCATTATCTGGTGATTAATTTTAATAACTGGACACTAAGATAAGAGTTTAGTAGCAGATATGTTTCTGTAAATCGCACACACACACATAAATATGTACTCACTTCTGTCACTTTGTGGGTGAAATCCTCTTCTTTCAGTTCTTGTAGGATATAACATGTCTTACTGAAACACATGGTACCTACCATTTTAGCAACCTTCAGTTTCACTATGAGTTTTGAATTGTGTGAAACAAGGAATTGAGCACAAAATAAATACAAAAAAGCAATGGTTCTGCTGAGGACTAATTATACTCTTCCATGTTTAAAAAACCTAACCTTTCATTAAAACTTAATCTGTTTTGGAAACTTTACAAAATCTCTTCCATACATTCCTCTAATCAATTTGCCCTTTTCCAATCATGTGTACACATTTTATCTGGTCCTTTCTTTTTTGAGGTACATGCAATGCCCATAAGGTGCCATTAACTGCTGATGGGGGTAGCCAGCTGGCTGGCTTGAAGAACCAAGCTGAAGGTGGCCCTTAGCTACCCTTTAAGACAACAAAGATATGGGAGGAGAACAGACCATCTCTCTGGCTTCCATATAGATGATAAGGACACTGGGATTACAGTAGGAAGGAAAGCTCAGTGTATTTCCTTTTTAAAGGTCATGAATGCCAGTGAAAGGTTTGCTTTCAAAATAAGAGCTCAAATAGGACAGCATGAGGGTTATGGAAGGGCATGCTTTTTTGATCATTCTAATTTTGGATGTTCTTCATAGCTCTGTTATTTTTCTTAAAACAACAGCTCAAACCCTCTCTGTTCTGTTTATAGTGTTTAATGATTGTGCATTGTAGGTGGAAAGATTATACCCAAAGTGTTCTTTAAGGACTCCACACTCTATCCAACCTCGCTATTTTACTACAAAATCCTTCCTAATATTTATGTTATTCATTTGGTCTTTTTGTTCACGCTGTCTCTTTTTATATCTGTTTGTAGAGGAGAAAAACCCTAAAGCTTTCGTGGACATAATTTGATAATTTTCCAGAGGAAAAACTATTTAACACATAGGATTTCCACAGTGCCAAAATTGCATTATTTTAATTTGCATTTGCAGATATGGGATAGACAGGAAACAGGGATGGAGTGATAGGACTTTTATAAACAGTGATTAAAGTGACTCCACATACTTTATAAAGGCAGGGACATATCCATAGTTCCAGCCTACAAAATGAGATTGCCTTATCCACTTAAGAAAAGGAAGAAATTTGTCTAATTTTCATCACCTCACAGCAGTCTAATCCCAAATCTTGTTCTCAGCTACACCCCAGATATTACATAATTATTTCAGTGCAACACAGATGATGTCAGAGAGAGAATTAAGCAGGCTGCTTAGGATGAGAGTTGTTTAATTGAGTAATTAGTTGAGCTGGCCAATCCATAATTAATTCCAATGCCTAGTGAGGGCAGGATCAAATTGCATTTCCACCCTGTCTTCTGGCACCAGTTAGACTTTGCACGTTTGAAACTCTTCTACTACATGTGCCGCAAATCTCACCATTATGGCAAACCTGATCTTGTCAGCCCTGAGCTTTGAGGAGGGTCTGAAAATTCAGGATATCTATGCCAAAATACTCTCAGGAACCAAGTCCTGTAAGAATACTTACATGTAACTGCACATACACTGACAACATCAAATTTGGGGAAAAATACAAAATCCACAAGACAGGAGACTGATTAATTTCCCTCTCAAGGAGTTTGGACCCACACCTCTCCTCTTAGGGGAGTGCCCTGCCTAAAGCCTGCGCTTGTCTCTCTGGTCTCCTTCGTCTGGAGCTGGGC